GAGTCGTAAAGCACCACATTCTGTGTTATATTGTCAGTCAGAGATGTAAAGCACCACATTCTGTGTGTTATATTGTCAGTCAGAGTCATAAAGCACCACATTCTGTGTGTTATATTGTCAGTCAGAGTCGTAAAGCACCACATTCTGTTATATTGTCAGTCAGAGTCGTAAAGCACCACATTCTGTTATATTGTCAGTCAGAGTCGTAGAGCACCACATTCTGTGTGTTATATAGTCAGTCAGAGTCGTAAAGCATCACATTCTGTGTTATATTGTCAGTCAGAGTCGTAAAACACCACATTCTGTGTTATATTGTCAGTCAGAGTCGTAAAGCACCACATTCTGTGTTATCTTGTCAGAGTCGTAAAGCACCACATTCTGTGTGTTATATTGTCAGTCAGTGTCGTAAAGCACCACATTCTGTGTGTTATATTGTCAGTCAGAGTCGTAAAGCACCACATTCTGTGTGTTATACTGACATTAACTTTGAAAGTATATATATATATATATATATATTTAACTTTTGACATTTGGTAATTAGTTGTAATCTTTGGAATATATTGTTTACAAACAGATTTCATCATAAAATTCTAATCATTCTTCAGCAATTGCCAAAGAACGGAAGAAAGCATTAGGGAAGGCTTCCATTGGAGGAAGTTTTGACTTAATTGATTCAAAAGGTCAGCCTTGCTCTAGTCAAGACTTCCATGGTCAGTGGGTTCTACTTTATTTTGGCTTTACACACTGTCCAGACATATGTCCAGATGAAATTGAGAAGATGGTTCAAGTTGTGGAAGTTTTAGGTGAGTCATTTTCATACTGTTTTAATTCCTGAAATGAAACGAGGTGTTGTTGTTCTTAGACAGTGTATGTACGTATATTACTTGCATATATATATATATATACATATTAAGGACAACAAGGAACCTGTTGGTACATCTTGGCCATCTCATCTACTGTACTAAACTCTAAAAAAAGTAAAATACTTACACCCAAACCTTATGATTCAAATATTTATCAAGTTTTCCCTTAAACCACTGCTGAAGGTAACCTGTTCCATATGTCATATGTGCCTACCTTGTCATAATTTATACTTGTGTCCCCTACAGCATGAAATAAGAAAAAAAGATGATGCATCAACACTATTAATTCCCTTAACAATCTTGAACAATTCAATCAAATCCCCTTTAACTCTTCCTTGTTCAAGATAAAACAGTTTCAGAGATCTTAACCTATCCTTGTATGATATGACATCCTAGGCATTATCCTCTCAACTTGTTTTCAGCATCCTTCCTAACATAAGGAGCCCAAGATTGAAAACCACACTCCAGACGTGGCTAACCGGTGACCTATACAATGACATTATAGCCTCTTTAGACTTGTACTTAGATTATTGTGTATTAAGTTAAAAATGAAATACTTCCCAACCATTTCCTATACTATATCATTTTTTGATAAATTTTGAACAAAACAAAGAGCAGCTTTTACCAGAATCACTTTTTTTCTGTAACAAGAAACACTAATATAGAATGCTTTATTTTTACATGGACACAATGCTGCTTTCAGTATGTTGGATTTTTTGTAACATCATATGTGCATTATTTTATATGCTACATTGAAATACAATTGTAGTTGTAGCTTCACAGTTATTTATTAATTTTTTGCAGAGTAGCAAAGCTTCTGAATGTGAGATTACACAGTTATTCTTTTGTACAAACTTCTATTGTTCTATAGATGTTGGTCATAATTCAAGATCTTGGCTTGAAAACATGCTTTTATCGTTTGACATTCATGTATTTTGTGGACAGGGTATTTCAAATTATATTTTGACCAATTTTATAAAAACAGCTACTGCATATGAAGTTCTAGAATTTTTAACTTTTGAAGATTGTGGGTCAAGATCAAAAGGTCACTGGTATATAGAAAATCTTCCTTGACCTTGTGGACATGATATTTCAGTAGAGGATGAATGGATATTGACTAAACTTATACAATAGATACTACATATAAAGGTATAGACCTGATTAAATTTTGAAGGTCATGGGACAAGGTCAAAAGGTCACTGGTGTATAGAAAATCTTCCTTGACCTTGTGGACATGATATTTCAGTAGAGGATGAATGGATATTGACTAAACTTATTCACTAGATACTACATATAAAGGTATAGACCTGATTAGATTTTGAAGGTCATGGGACAAGGTCAAAAGGACACTGGTATATAGAAAATCTACTCAAATCTTGTGGACATGATATCTGAAAGTTGGATGGACGGATTGATTTTGTCCAGTCATACACAACAGATACTACATCAAACTTAGAGGGAACTTAAGCATACAGTATAACATTAATGGGGGATAGGTATTTCATAACCATAGTTTGCACCTGTTAAGAAGTATGAGTTTGGTATTTTCATGCTTCACGGTATATTACAGAACGTGTGTAATACTTGTATGATCAACTGAAGAAGTGGATACTCGGTCAGTAAAGATATGACTGAATGTAAACCTGTATAGACACGTATCTTTACTGACTGAATGTGAACATGTATAGACACGTATCTTTACTCTATAGACACGACTGAATGTAAACATGTATCTTTACTGACTGAATGTAAACATGTATAGACACGGAATGTAAACATGTATAGACACGTATCTTTACTGACTGAATGTAAACATGTATAGACACGTATCTTTACTAAAAATCATACCAATTCTTTGATAATTCTTTATATATTTACCCAAACAGCAATGACTTGTGGAAACTTGGTAATTGATTTGAATCTTATTTTTTGTGTTTTAGAAACTCACTTATTGTATAGTTTTTTATTATTGCAACTGATGCTTTATGAAAACTTTGTACGTACTATTGTTACCTTATTTTAGGTTTTATTTAGAATTGTGTGTTTTAGTGAAAATGATAATAACATGTGTAAAGATTATGTTCTGTGTAAATAATCTTTGGTAATAATTTGTTCTTAAACGTTTACAGAAAAGCAAGAAAACGCGTCCAAGATTGTACCAGTTTTCATCACAGTTGACCCTGAGAGAGATAATGTAGAAGCTGTCGCTTCGTATACAAAAGGTAATAAGAAGTTACAGTTAGCTTTTGTTGGATTAGTTTTGGATTTACAACTGAACTATTAGAAGCATTTTAAATAAATCAAGCTTTAGTAAATGGCTCACATATTCTGTACTTAATTGTAGAGCATTCCTTGGTTCCAGTCACAGTTCCACTCTGTAATCTCTAATTTGATCAGTAAACACAAATCTATACATCATCAATTACAACTAGAATTTCTGAAAGAGACAAAATGTGAACATTAAATGATACAACAGCTAAACTTACACCTACTCTCAGAACACCAAGCAAATTCTAAAGACTACCTGATAGTAAAACTTGTAACTTTATTTCAAAAACATTCTTACATACGATAGTATTTTAAAGATGTTTCTCTGAGGATTCCAGATGCAAAAAATAAGTCCTAATGGCCTGATATTATAGACTGAGGATTCCAGATGCAAAAAATAAGTTCTTAATGGCCTGATATTATAGACTGAGGATTCCAGATGCAAAAAATAAGTTCTTAATGGCCTGATATTATAGACTGAGGATTCCAGATGCAAAAATAAGTCCTAATGGCCTGATATTATAGACTGAGGATTCCAGATGCAAAAAATAAGTCCTAATGGCCTGATATTATAGACTGAGGATTCCAGATGCAAAAAATAAGTTCTTAATGGCCTGATATTATAGAAAATTGATATAAAAATTACTCCATCAATTATGTATGTATCACATTGATTGTTGTAAACTTTATTATGAATCTAAATAAACATGGAAGTAAGCAGAGTGTCAGTACCACAACATGTTGATGGGAAACCATTCTTCAATTAAACAAGAAACAGAATGAATACTAACTTCGATAACGTGAATATTAGAATATAGATTTAGACAGAAGTTGGAAAGAAAGGTTACGTAATAAGTTGAAATGGTGACATTAGAAGTGAGTAAAGATAAATGTACTGCTTTTTTTATGATCATATAGATTCAATACAGGTACCATGGCAACAGTACATCAACGGTGTTTTACATGTACTTTGATGGTATTTTAAAACATCCCTATGAAGTAGCAAAAATAAAAAGTTTCATCTTGTTCACTATAGAATGTATACATGTAAAGTGAGGTAAATTACAAGTGCTGTAGTTAACATGCCATCTTGTTCACTATATAATGTATACATGTAGAGTGAGGTAAATTACAAGTGTTATAGTTAACATTTGATCTTGTTCACTATAGAATGTATACATGTAGAGTCAGGTAAATTACAAGTGTTATAGTTAACATTTCATCTTGTTCACTATAGAATGTATCCATGTAAAGTGAGGTAAATTACAAGTGTTATAGTTAACATTTCATCTTGTTCACTATAGAATGTATCCATGTAAAGTGAGGTAAATTACAAGTGTTTTAATTAACGTTTCATCTTGTTCACTATAGAATGTACACATGTAGAGTGAGGTAAATTACAAGTGTGTTAGTTAACATTTCATCTTGTTCACTATAGAATGTATCCATGTAAAGTGAGGTAAATTACAAGTGTTATAGTTTAACATTTCATCTTGTTCACTATAGAATGTATACATGTAGAGTGAGGTAAATTACAAGTGTTTTAGTTAACATTACATCTTGTTCACTATAGAATGTATACATGTAGAGTGAGGTAAATTACAAGTGTTATAGTTAACATTTCATCTTGTTCACTATAGAATGTATACATGTAAAGTGAGGTAAATTACAAGTGTTATAGTTAACATTTCATCTTGTTCACTATAGAATGTATACATGTAGAGTGAGGTAAATTACAAGTGTTATAGTTAAGATTTCATCTTGTTCACTATAGAATGTATACATGTAAAGTGAGGTAAATTACAAGTGTTATAGTTAACATTTCATCTTGTTCACTATAGAATGTATACATGTAGAGTGAGGTAAATTATAAGTGTTATAGTTAACATTTCATCTTGTTCACTATAGAATGTATACATGTAAAGTGAGGTAAATTACAAGTGTTTTAGTTAACATTACAAAATCTTGTTTTACATTTCTAACTACAATGTTTTTTTTGTATTTGTTTAGTTTAGTATGCCAAAAAATATTCTTGATAATGTTTTTATCATTTGTTTACTTTTAACATGTTAAATTTATTGTAAGATTTGTTTGTTAGAGTGTGTCAAATTAATTATGCATGAAACATATTCATGACTGATGAGAGTTCTAGTTTAAAATCTGTATTTTAAATACTCTAAATGTAAAAGCATCCAATTAAAACTAATAGCGAGTTATATTCACTTCAGAAAATCATGGTGTGTCCCATCCTGTCCAAGTGTTATTCTTTTGTAACATGCTCTATGTTATCATTCCTTTGCTCTATATAGACAGATTAGCTCACTTGTATCCAGTTGTCTTTAAAATGTAAAAGAACAGGGACAGAATGTAGCACATAATGGTGTGAAGTAAGATAGAATTTGGTGGCAGAGCAAAATGTGCTTAAAAATGCACCTTTTCTGATATATAGTTTTGTTAATGCTAACAAAATCTATGCTAGTTGAATGGTAAGTGTCAGTTTCTGTAGTACTTGTTATATTTCTTCAGAATTTTCACCCAAGTTGATTGGATTAACTGGGAGTAAGGAACAAATTCAGAAGGCTACTAGAGCATTCCGAGTCTACTTTAGTGCAGGTCCAAGAGATGATGACGATGATTACATTGTAAGTGTATCTATTTAAAAGATTGTATTGTCTTTTAGCTACTAGGAACTACAGACTTCTCTTCAGAGTTGTAAGTTCTGTAAAATATTAATATCTAAGTAAGTAGGTATCTTTCTGATCATGTTTTGTGTTGATGGCTCATGATCATCAACTGGCTAGAAGATACTTACATGAATTGTTTGATTTACATTCATATAGTACTCCAAAGTAGTGGTTCCTAGCCACTGGTTAGTAGCCATGCTTTTGTTGATCTGGATAAACATCCAGTGAGAAAAATAGAAAGAAATTTATTATAATGATAATTAACAATATGTATAATTCTTTTTTTCAATAAATATTTACGCTGTTAAAGTTTATGCTCCTAATGGTTCTTTTTACAAAGACTTTGTGGAGTGGAAAAGGTTGTGAAACACTGTTCTAAATGGATTTCAAATCTGTTATAAATGTTAAAGGTACTTATTTGTGGCATTGAATTTTTGTCAGTGATAAGGTTAAGAACTTAGAGTGCTACAATCCAGGACTTGATTCCCTGTTTTTAACAAAGTATAGATAGCCTATTGGGTAGTTTCATAAAATACATTATCTACTTAATGATTCATTGTATACTGTTTATAAACTGGTAATACTTAAAACTATGGTGCTTAATGATTCATTGTATACTGTTTATAAACTGGTATTACATAAAACTATGGTGCTTAATGATTCATTGTATACTGTTTATAAACTGGTAGTGTATAAAACTATGGTGCTTAATGATTCATTGTATACTGTTTATAAACTGGTAGTACTTAAAACTATGGTGCTTAATGATTCATTGTCTACTGTTTATAAACTGGTAGTGTATAAAACTATGGTGCTTAATGATTCATTGTATACTGTTTATAAACTGGTATTACATAAAACTATGGTGCTTAATGATTCATTGTCTACTGTTTATAAATTGGTATTACATAAAACTATGGTGCTTAATGATTCATTGTATACTGTTCATAAACTGGTAATACTTAAAACTATGGTGCTTAATGATTCATTGTATACTGTTTATAAACTGGTAGTGTATAAAACTGGTGCTTAATGATTCATTGTATACTGTTCATAAACTGGTAGTATATAAAACTATGGTGCTTAATGATTCATTGTATACTGTTTATAAACTGGTAGTGTATAAAACTATGGTGCTTAATGATTCATTGTATACTGTTTATAAACTGGTAGTGTATAAAACTATGGTGCTTAATGATTCATGTAACAAAATAAAGATAAAAGCATGTTAGTATTATGTTTTTAAGTGTAGCATTTTCTGTAATATTTCAAAAGTAATTATATTGTACAAAAACTTTATATTTTTCTTTGTACTTGTAAAAGTAACATTTTCTTTGTGAGAAATCATCAAGCTACAATTTGTCTGTGATTTTACAAAATAAACCCTGAAGTTTACATCTTGAGTAACACTAACATCAGTTGTATAAAAATTATAATATTTCTTGTTATCAGGTCGATCACACCATCATCATTTATCTGATTGACCCAGAGGGTCAGTTTGTTGATTACTATGGACAGAATAGAACAGCAGAAGAAATTGCTAGTAGTATCCAGTTGAACATGGCAAAGTATCAGAAGATGAATAAGAAGAGTTGGTTTTGAGGGTTTGGTAGTTTTAAAATATATATGTGTAAACAACACACAAAAGTTTATTAAAAGATTTTTTGATTAAAAAAGACTGGAAACAATTTTTTTTTAATTTATGTAACTTTTTGTATCCTGTAACTTTTTCATTTACTGATGATGGAGTTGTTTTAAACTTTGTGGGGTTTTTGATCAAAGGAAAGTCGCATACAATTATGTTATACAACTATCTTTAAAAGTTGAATCTGATGATGCATGTAAGATTGTCTTTATGAAACAGTTGTAAAGGTTTCTTTTTGGATATAGAAACGTGGCTGGACTTGAACTAGCTTGAAAGATGAATAATATAGATATTACAGGTTCACATTTCCTCTTGAATATTCAGAAGTTTTGGTAAATATATGTTTATTTTCTCTTCAGACAAAAAAAGGAATTTTATCACGTTGTAGATGTGGTTTAATGTATTTAAACATTGAAATCTGGAAAGGAACAACAGTAACATAGTATGGGCTTACATCATGTTAGAACCATTTTAAAGTAATTTTAATTTTTTGTAAACCTGTATGATATTTCTGGCTACAAAATAAAAAGGTTATTTTATTGCAGGTAATTTTGTAGGTCATTATTATAGAATTAGAATAGTTTTCTTGTATCAGTATGTATAAACAGTAAATGTTTTACTAGGCTATATTTATACACTTACTGTGATACAGTTGTAAGTGTCTTCATTTTGAATTGGGCTGATGCATTCATTTATTCGGAATGACTGCATATTGTCACTAATTGATGGAAAATGATAGTTTGAGTATTTTTTACAGATCTAACCTGTATGTAAAACATTGCTTGTATTAAGTATGAAAAGGAGGAGACTGCATTGCCTTCAAAACTCTTAATAAGTATTATTAAAATAAATCTAGAAATTTCCCAATAAAAAGTTGTTTAATTCTGAAATGTTGCAAATATTCAAAGTACCTATGAAAAGTGTTGCATGTATATAAACTGTTTGTTGAATTTTGCACAAAGCAACTCCAGCACTATACAAGCCATCCCAAATTTAGAAGACAGCTAGTCAATACCACCCAATGTCATCTTCTAGGATTCTCTTTTTACTAATGAAAAGTGGGATTGACCATCCCTTTGTAACACATCCACAGTTAAAAGGTTGGGGACTTGAACGTGTAATCCTCGGATAGTGAATTAAGCACCTTAACCATAAAGCCAAACCAGGCTTGTAGTTAAACTGTACATTCACATAGTTGAAGATAATTTCATATGCAAGGCATAACTAATTTTCTAAGTACCACATCTGATCGTATAGAGCACATGATATACATGATGTGCTGTGTTAAATGAGAAACTTTTAAACATATTAGACAATTTAGTTAAGGAAAAACATTAAAGAATGTAATGAGTGTCACTATAGCCAAAATTATATAGCACTTTATTGTGTTACTTCTTAAAATATTTTAAGTACACAATGTGACGTTTAATCAGATTTAGGAAATTATTTGCAAAGGATAAATGAAACAAATACTGCAAAGAATAAAGATTCACACAAAAAAATCCTTCTTTGAAGAGATGTGTTGAAGGCTATTTCACTACTGGCCACCTTTGGAGTTCATCTTGTGAATTCTAGCTGCTAGAGCAGGAATAATGATGATCCTGCATTGTTTAATGAGAATGTTCAATACTTAAGTATAATAATATCATACCATTAGCTTGTACTAATTTGTACAAATCTTTGTCAAAGTATCTTAGGGAATGATGATAGTTTTTTTTTTATCTTGGTGTATTGGCATAAGGCACCAAGTTCTTTTGCTACCATCACCACAAATATACAGAAACAGGATCCAGCACATATAAACCTTCATACAGTGACAAGTGTGTTATAGAAAAAAATCACATCTAAGGCATGGAATTATTATACATTTATGATTTATCCTGCATATAACATAATCTACTAATTTAAATGTGTAAAATCTACATGAAAATGTAAGTAAAAAAAGGTGTATTTAATTCCTAGTTAGGAAATGGTAAAATGTAACAGTTTTACTTTAACTGAGAAAACACCTTTTCCTTATATTGAGGCCTTCCTAGGCCAAAACCTTACAATTAAATGTTAGCACATATAGTTAGATTAACAAAACATCAGACATTTTATGCATTCTCCTGCTTTTCCGAAGACTACTTTTAGTAATTTCGATGCATTTTACTTTTGACAGATTGAAAAGTTGGGTCCTGACCCTTCTTTCTGCTTCCTACACCACTGCTTTACATTTAAAGTCTTTGGTTTCATATTGAAGCGTTTTTGAATAGTTCACTATTCTTTTTCAGGAGAATAAAGGGTTAATGTTTAACAAGTGTAATGAAATATATAGGGACGGATATTAGTATTATTCTTTAATTTCTCTATATTGGTATTATTCATACTTTAATTACTCTATATTGGTATCATTCATTCATTAATTTATCTATATTGGTATTATTCATTCATTAATTACTCTGTATTGGTATTATTCATTCATTAATTTATCTATATTGGTATTGTTCATTCATTAATTTATCTATATTGGTATTATTCATTCATTAATTTATCTATATTAGTATTATTCATTCATTAATTTCTCTATATTAGTATTATTCATTCATTAATTTATCTATATTGGTATTATTCATTCAATAATTTA